TAATCCTTTCAACAATGTTTGTGTTAACATCAATATATATACCTCATGAATATTAGATGCAATTACATATTATACTTACAATGTAGGTTTAAGGGTTATATTTATTCTGTAGTAGACTTAATTTATCAATTTTGTCTTTATCGTATTTTCACATCAATTTAACCCTTAAAGCTGTTTAAGTGCATCATTCTAAATCTTACCTTAACTTAAAACCCTAAATTATAAATCTTAAGTTAGTGTTTAGAGTTTAAGATTTAGGGCTTAAAGGGTACGAGGTTATAGTTTAAGGTTTGGAGTTTATAATTTAGTGCTTGAAGTTAGGGGTAAGGTGTAGAATGATGCAATTGATAAACTTCGAGGACTAAATTAGTGTGAAAATACGATAGAAACGAAAGTGATAAATCGAGCCTATTATAGGGGCAAAAGTTACCCTTTTGGCTCTCTATTATTAAATTATGAGACACTATTTGTTAAGGTTTTTTAGGTAATAGATAATGTATATACCTTACAGACGTAATTGTTCGAACCTAGGTCATCTAGAGAGAATAACATCCCATTTTATCACTAAAACCAATTAACCAGCTTTCTAAAATTATATTTAAATATTAATTAAAATGAATTTTAAAATAATGCATCCGATTATGGTTTATATATATATATATATATATAAGAAAGTATATTTGAGTCATATTATGTATGAGTAATATACATAATTATTTTTAGTATAAATATCGGTATTCGATTTTTTGATTGACTAATCCGGATCAAATACTGTAGAGGTAAAGGCGACAATCCTAACCTAGTTTGCTCCATTCACAAACACCAAGATTTGAACTCCTAACCTTACTAAGTTATTTTGATTTAAGTTATGTTGAATTTTTATTTGTATAATTATATTTTTTATGATGATTTAGATTCATTATCTTTATAGTTGTTAATTAATATTAATCTAAAAAAATTTCAAGTAAAAAAATGTCAATTAATATGTTTATTATTTTTATGTGAATAGAAGTTATTATTTTTTTTAAAAAAAATCTGAAATGATTATGTATATTACCCTTAAAAATGCACGCATATGATTATATTTTATTGTAGTATGCTTTTAATTTTATAATATGTAATTTGATAGTAGCCTAGCCTTATATATTATAATTTTTTTTATTAATCTGGAGTAAGTATAAAACAATATATGTTTAAAGATAACTCTCAATATTTTGATATTAAATGTTTATACCCTTGACATTATGATGTTCGAATCCGGATATTAAAAAATATTCGTGTTTTTAAATAAACTGAGATTAGTAATTTTTGTTAAGTAATGATAAAAAAGACCCAACACTAATCAAACCACCTTAAGTGAAATGTCTGATCAATTAGAAACACTAGCAACTTTAAACTTTTGTGACCTTTGATGGTGTTTTGTTTGGGTTTGATGGAGACTGCTAAAGTTGACCTAAAATATTGTGTCAAATTGTTTAATAATATGATTGGGTGGATTTCCTCCTAACTATAATTCAATTAATTTCAATTATTGTATTCCAATTATGCTCTGCCCACCACACACTTTCACAATTATCAAGTGAATCATATTCTTTCTGTAACAAATTCAATTATTAGGAATATATACACAAGGTCTCATTATGATGACAACGAGTCGGGTTAAGGTTGGGTTTTTTGTTAATTTGATCTGACTTGAAAATATATACCTTTCACTGAAATCTGACTCGATCTAACCTAAAATATATATATATTTTCACTCGATTCTGACTAGATCCAAATTTTTTGAGTATAAATTCGACTCGGCCCGACCCGATATAAATTAAGAATTTAACTAAAATAATAATAATTTTTTTAAGAAAATTACATTATTATCCTCGAGTAGGAGTTTTTTCACCCTTCACCCGAACCCGACCCAACTCGACTCAAAATTTATTCTAAAAATATACAACCCAACTAAATCCGATCCAATCATATGAAACTCGTAGGATGCGGGTGAAATTGCCAACCCTAGGTCCAATACAAGTTTGCACATTATAAAATGATTTTACACATTGATGGGTAGATGATGGAGAACCATACCATTTTAAGTGGGAAATATTATAAAATTGTGTTAAGGTACATATTTTATTGGTAAACTACACATCTAGTATCTAACTATTACTTTTGTCATGTTTTGCTCATCGAACTATTATTATTATTTTCAAAATCATACTTAACGTCACGTTTTAGTTTCATTTTGGTCACACACAGTTAAAAAAGTAACAAAACTGCGAAGTGATATTTAAAAAAATCAAAGATGACGAGACATCACTGTTAAATTTTACAACAAATAACCAAAATGTAACGTTAAACATGATTTTGAAACAAAAAGTAGTTAGATAACCAAAATGAAATAAATGTGATAATTCAAGAACTATACATAATTTTATGTCATTATTTGCGTAACACCCTTAACCAAACCTTTACATGTTGTCAAGTTTTTTAATGTCACATTTGATCATAAACTTTACAAACTCTGGTGACACGAGTTACTCAAAATTATAAATAATTTATACAAAAATATGAAAAACACAAAATTTACAAAAAAAACGAAACTCCTTTATTTGAAAACCAATACATGAATAAAATATTTACAACACAACTCGAATAAAGTCGTAACCTCTATATGTCCAATTAAGTATTCATTATTGTACTCTGGTACTACTGTTAAGACTCCTTCAATGATATTGCTGTCCCATCGTGACCCTCGAAACTTATAACATACGAATAGAGAAACTCGAACACTAAACTAATAAACCCAGTGATACACATCTACTCTATTATATTTCATGAATTTCATATCCTACTATGAACTTATAGGCATTAATCACTTACTCCATAAGCTTTAACACTATCAACGTAGTTCGTTATATTTACCCGAGATCTATAATGTAATCTATCTCAAGACACATGATTACTTACTCAATTTTATCATGTTCGACATTCACAATATTCCTAAATTTATTATGCATTGGATATATTAATTACTCAATCTCGAATATACCTCTAGTTATGTGGTCAAAACGAAAAAAAATAAAAGTTTGGTGTCTAAAGTATAAATTTAGAAAAAGTTGAAGCCCTTAAATGGTTATTTTTCTAAAAGTTATTTTTAGTCCATAATTAGGGAATTTAACTATGATAAGTAATTTAAATATTTAAAATAATTATGACTTAAAGTATACACTTTTTTCTTTACACCTTAAAAGTTACTAATATAATTTGATGACCAATAAAATAATACGTAAAGTACACAAATAATCCCCGTTATATGATATTATTTTATTAAGTCATTACATTATTAAACGTTATAAGATAGTCATACGGCTATAAAATGTTACTTTGTTAAGTCCATTGACTATTAAAAGTTACAAAATAGTCATCCGACTATTCATTATGTTCAAAACTCGTCATTTTATATTAAAAAATTGATTGTTGTTTAAGCTGAAAATTAACATGATGATTGAGATATGATAGTCGTTTGTGATCATTTGATTAGATTTTATCATATCATAGTCAACATGTTAATGTTCAACTCATAATATCATCTATTTTTCAACGGAAAATGACGGGTTTGGAACATAATGAACAGTTGAGTGACCATTCTATAACTGTTAATAGTTTAAGGACTCAATAAAACACCAATCTATAGTCGGAGGATTATTTTGTAACGTTTAATAGTCAAAGAACTTAATAAAATGGTACCCTATAGCTGGGGCATCATTTCTATAATTTTCCATAAAATAATTAACCCTTATATTTATTTTCTATGTGCGGGTTTACGACTTCATTGCAAGACGCGTATGGAAAATTCCGTGTTCCAAAGGCAAAGTAAAATGTTTGACATTTGACTCATTAGTAGAAACTTGTACCAATTTTAATTTCAGGATTTGATTTTGATAATTAATGTATTAAATGTTAAACTTTATAATCAGCACGAGTGGTTGATCTTCTCGTGAAAAACAAAGCGTGCTAAACTTGGATCATAAATGCACGAACCAATTTATTTTAATTAATTTAATTTAGAGATTAAAGAAATCGTTATTATATTTAAAGGTGTTAAATTCAAGCATTAGTAGTTGTGATAGGGTGGTTGAACGTTTATCGTCAAATAATTAAGAATATTTAAATATATATTACATCAAATGATTTATGTGATAAAAAATTATTATTATCCTTTAATGATCTAAGTCTATACACTATAAATTTTAAGGGTATAAATATTTAATATCAAAAGCAATCATAAACATATTTTTTTTATTATATAGACAAAAAAAAAACCCACATCCTTTAAACTCTGGTTTCTCGGTCCAATCGTCACCAATATCAAGGATAGTACTCTCTTTCCTGTTTTACCCTTACCTTCCAGTTTTCATAATATTGTTATTATTTTATTAAGGTTTGAATTGCTATAGGCTATTAATTTTGTGGTCGTGTAAGGTTTTTAATTTTGTGGTTGTGAAATCAAGTTTTACTGAGGTTAATTTATAACGGATGTCTTTTACGGAAGTTGCTCTCAACCTGACGTTGGGGGTAACCTACTACCCTACTACCCTACTTTCCCCTTATTCTATTACAAATAAGAATAGGGTCAATTATTTTTTATTTTATTAAGGTTTAATTGTATTTTGATACGGATTGAGCAATCTTGATGATACAAAATATTGTTATTTTTAAGGTTTTAAATTCGAGTACTAGAAATATTATTTGTATGAACGTTCTATATGAAAATATTCTTTGAATATATACTATCTTGATCTCGAGTTTAAACACTATAAATATGAAGAGAATTAACTGTTTAATGTCAAATTATTAAAAATTATACTTAAACAAATATTATTTTATATTTAGTTAGATTAATAAAAAAACTGTGTATTTGTATATATTTTTTATATTCAATTTTCTGTTCCGTGTTGGTTTTGCTTCCCCAAGGAAGAGAGAGAGAGAGAGAGTTCAAAATGCTCCAAAAACGTTGTTAATGGATGCTTCGATCTATGCCACCTTCAGTTTCAAAGAAATCTCATAGAAAACAAGCCCAATCCCCATGTAAGCCAATTTTATATTCCTTCATTATATTATAATCCTATATCTTCGCTTTGCTTTGCTTTATTCTATCACCTTGCCTTCTTTCATTTCTTCAAGTGTAATCATAAGATCTTCAATTGTTTTTCAGTGTAGTTCTCATCTCTGTGTGCTGAAAGCTGTTTTATCCCTTGAATTTATTGCAGAAGTTTGGGTTTTGTTTTGTTTCTAAAAAAAGCTTTTATTTCTATATTAAAGATTGGATTTTCCCCCTTTTGAAAGGACTAGGTTCAATGGGTTTTGATTGGGATCCATGTTGGATCTCTTGGGGCTTTGTTTTTTGGGTATAGTTTATCAATTCTTTGTTTTATTTAACTAGTTTTGTTTTTTGTCAACTGATCTTGTGTTTTGTGTTTCTTGTTTTCTTCTATTTCTTCTCAGCCTTTTTCTTCTGGGGTTGCTTGTGTGGAAGGAATTTAGAATCTGCCACATTGCCTAGGGTTTTAAAAAGATCTATTTTTTTTTTGTTTGAGGAGAGTTTCATGGGTTGAACTCAAAGAATAATGGGTAGCTTAAGAGAAGACGAAGAATGTTCATTTTTTGATGCTCACGACCGCATTTCGACAATGCCTGGTTTAAATTCTTATTACACAGAGATACACCACTCAGATTCTGGTTTTCATAATACGTCTGTCAGTAGTTTCCAATATGATGTATGGATTAATAGCCCGCCGAGTGTCGAGGAACGGCGTAGTAAATTCTTGCATTGGATGAGATCGAGTTTAGATCGAGTTTCTCCGGAAAATTCAGTAGATGCACCTTGTGGTGGAGGGGAATTCGAAAGGGTAGTGGAAACTAGTGATGCCGTTTTGAGAACATCTGGCTTTGAAGAGGTGTTTTCTTCTAGCCGGTCTTCCATGTCTTGTTGGTCTAATGATAATTTTGATTTGTTTGGACAGTCGAGTTCAGGAGATAAATTTGTGTGCAGAGAAGGAAACGAGGGTGCTTTGTTTGATGTTGATGAAGTGCAACAGGTTGAGAAGGCTAGTGAGGGTTGGGAAATGAATGAAGAACAATTGGTAACCAACAAGAAATCCGAGAGCCCTTGTCTAAAATCACCCTCTATTCTACCAATTAGGGACAACGAAGTTGAGAAGCAGAATAAATTAGAGAGAACAGCAAAGAAAGTTAAAAACAGGTGGTTGAGTAGATTGCGTTCAATATCTTGTATGGTGGATACACAGGTTGAAGATAATCGATTGAGACTGGATGGAGATGATTCAATGTTGGGGACTAAGGTTCAGAGAGTTAAGGTCCACCAGAAAAGGAAGAAAACAAAGGAACTTTCCGCTCTCTATAAGGGACAAGATATCCAGGCCCATGAAGGTACAATTTTGACAATGAAGTTCAGTCCCAACGGGCAATACTTAGCGAGTGCTGGTGAAGATGGTGTTGTGAGAGTCTGGCAAGTGGTGGAAGATAAGAGATGCAATGACCTTGACATTCCAGAAATAGATCCTTCATGCATGTACTTCACAGTGAATCATCTTTCCGAGTTGAAACCCCTCTTTGTAGATAAGGAAAAAGCAGGAAATTTAAGGAGCATGAGAAAAACTTCTGATTCAGCATGTGTTATCTTCCCTCCCAAAGTTTTCCGGATATTGGAGAAACCATTACATGAGTTCCATGGGCATGATGGTGATATCCTGGATCTCTCGTGGTCAAAGAAAAATGTAAGTCAACTGATTTATGTCTATGTTTTTCATAATCACCACCAAATAAGAGAAGGAAGAAGAGAAACTTTTATCTATGATTCTCTTTTAATGTGTCTCACTTGTGTGTTCATGTTGCAGTGTCTGCTGTCTTCCTCTGTTGATAAAACCGTTCGTATGTGGCAAGTCGGATCTGACCATTGCCTAAGAGTGTTTGCTCATAGTAATTATGGTGCGCTTCTGGTTGATTCTCTCTCTGTCTGTGTGCGTGCATTATTTAACATGCAATTATCTAATTGAATTATTAGTTTGTCCGTTTTCGGAAATGTTCTTGTCCTTGCCACTGATAAAGGATTACCTCTCTTTTTATGCTGCAGTAACATGTGTTCAATTTAACCCTGTGGATGACAATTACTTCATTAGTGGTTCAATAGATGGAAAAGTGCGCATTTGGGCAATTTCTAGCTGCCAGGTTGTTGACTGGTGTGATGTAAGAGATATAGTTACAGCAGTTTGTTATCGTCCGGATGGACAGGTTTGTTGATTTTCTTGCACCTTTTTCCCTTAGGGGACTACCGGTTGAGGAGTTTTAAATTTGTTGTAAAACCTTTCCTTCTATTTTATCCAGGGAGGAATTGTTGGCTCAATGACAGGCAGCTGCCGGTTTTACAATGTGGCAGGTATACCTACATTGAAAGGGATTCATATTTATTCACAATGATATACATAGTTGGTAGGCCTGTCGACGATTACTTTTATTAAGAGGAGTACTTCGGTCTGTTTCTTAATCATGTCATAGAAAATATTTTTTTTGGTTGGCATAGGCTTAGAAACTTGTGTATCTCGTGAAGCTGCATTTATAGTTTGTTTGATTTGAAACAGACCAACGTTGTGTTGTTTTTTTCAGACAATCGTTTACAACTGGATGCTCATATATACTTAACTGGGAAGAAGAGGTCACCTTGCAGAAGGATAACTGGCTTGCAGGTAGTTATTCTTATCCCTGCTTTTGGTCACTTTAGTATACTTGACTCTTAATAGCTGAGATGTGCAGTTTTTGCTCATTATATATCATTCGATGCAGTTTTTGCTCATGTAATGTCATTCGATGCAGTTTTTACCACAAGATTCAAGCAAGGTAATGGTTACTTGTGCTGATTCTCAAGTCAGAATTCTTCAAGGACTCAATGTGATCTGCAAATACAAGGGTATAGTCATCTTGTTTTCTAATCATTTAACCGTATAATATCGGTTTGTTGCAACTCATCAAACCCGGAATTGTACACTTCAGTTTCTTACATTTATTAATTTTGAATCCGAAACACAATTTTTGTGTTCCTTAACTTTTAGTCTGCTCCAAATTCATGCCGTCTCTTTCTTACTCTGCAGGAGCATGTAACGGTGGTAACCAGGCATTCGCATCATTAACTCCTGATGGGAAGCATATTGTTTCAGCTTGTGAAGATGCAAATGTGTATGTATGGAATTGTGTTGACCAGGATGAACAATCACGTCCTCGTGCTAAAGATGTAAGATCTTTTGAGCGATTCTTTGCTAATGCATCCATTGCAATTCCATGGTGTGGCATGAAAAGTGAGAATGCTGAAAATGGAAGGCAATTTGAAGTATTGAATGAAAATTTACCCGATAACTTTCCATTTTCATCGCCATCGCATTTCTCTTTGAGCCATGAATACTATATAGAGTCTTTTCCCAAGGAATCTGCAACTTGGCCAGAGGAAACACTTCCTCCATCGACCGTGTCATCTTCGATGCATAAATCCCAGTACAAGTTTCTGAAATCTTCTTGCCAGAATACATTTAAATCCCATGCATGGGGTCTTGTTATGGTGACAGCTGGTTTGGATGGAAGAATTAGATCCTTCCTCAATTATGGTTTACCAGTACCCGTGTGACAATAAAGCCGGTTTCGCAGATACTTCATTGAGCTTGAATAGGCTGACAAGTGACCTCTAGATGTGAAAGCATCAACTGCCATGGCTTGCTCAGGGCAGCATGTTTGATGGTCACGCGCAGTTCAGATCGATTGTTGAGAATCTGTGGTTTCATGTCAGTAGTCTGCAACCAAATTTGGTTGCAACTAGTGGCTGTGTTGTATGGTTTACGACAATCTTTCTTGGAGCGAGTGACCAAGGTCAGTTTATCCGAATACCCTCCAAGTTAATTGTATGATTGGTTGATTTGTTATTACTAGACATATTTGCCTACCTGCCCTGGAATGGATTTCTCAAGTTGTTTTTGAGAGAAGGCAATAGAGATCTTATCACATATATCGGAGGTTTCCGTGGTTGGAGGGGCCTTGTCAACCGGCTTCTTTCACGTGTTAAACTGGAGTGGAGTTTAACCAGGACCATCTGTTGGCCGATTCGAACGATTGAATTCGTTTGTCCTTTATTCTGGGTCTGGCCTCATGGTCATGGAGTTGGAACTTACCCGGCTATATTTTCCTCGAAGCGAATCTCTGCCAACCATAGTGCTAGACTGCACCATTTTTGATGCATTGCAAAGCACATTGCCGACAATTCCTTTCACGGACCGCCGGTTCTGGGCCCATCTGCAGACTAATAGCCGTGATCGACAGATGAAAACACTAATATAGCTTCATCGAAACTCAATCTGCTAACACAATTCGTTGATATTTATACTAACACACCCAAAAGAGTTGTATGCAACATGTAATTAGATAAATTGAGTTCTTTAGTTAGTTGTTTTTTCTCCAATTCAATTGTTGTTGTTGGCACTTGGACATATCAATGTTATGTTGTTGATTTTGATGATTACTGTCATAACATTCCATTAATGATTTTCAACCTATACCTTACCACAATCGCATATGGCAGAATATTTAAACGAGATTATTTAAATGTTCATTATTAAATAATTTACTATAAATAGTATGTATTCTAAATATTCTTCATTTGACAATAAATGTTCAATTACTCCGTTGTAATAACTAGTGTTTGAACCTGACCTTTAAGAACAACAACGATTACTCCTTTAACTCGGTTGATTTGTGCATCGGCAGATCTAAAGTTAACAAAATCATTACCAACTCAAATGATAAAAAAAGACAGATCAATTGATATTATAACATAAAGAGGTACCATATTTAGGAGACAATTAGTACAAAACATTATTACTTGTCAAGCGACAAACTTAAGTGTGTTTGGCTTAGCTTTTAACCTATATTAATTAATTCCATTTTTTTATTTTCTTTTAAGTTTTTGGATTATTTAATTGAAATATTTTCTTTTGATATGCCAGATGAAATACTTAAAAATGTATTTTATTCATAAATTTTACTTATCTTTTATTGTTTATTACAAAAGAAAATTGAAACTCATAATATTTTATTTTACTGGTAAATGGATGTGTTTCTCTTGTAAATTAGAGAAAATAACCTCATTGACCAAAAATGTCTTATAATATACGATTTTAACCAACTTTTTTTGGATTTGCCAAAATGACCAACTAAATCGCAATGCGATCGATAAATCGCAACGCGAACTTGGACTATCGCAATTCGAATATGTAAATCGCAATGCGATAGTCGAAGTTCGCGTTGCGAATCTGGAAATTGATTTGCGATACCGGAGATCGCGTTGCGAATTATCGATCGCATTGCGATTTAGTTGATCATTTTGGCAAATCCAAAAAAAATTGGTTAAAATCGTATATTATAAGACATTTTTTGTCACTAAAGTTATTTTCTCTGTAAATTAATCTCATGTCTCACTTCTCAAATAAATAAAATAAAATAAATTTTGTAACGAGTGGTTAAGGCTTTTATTTTGATCCAAGTGACAGAGAAAAGAAAGAAGATAGTATTGAACTAAAGATAAAGCATATGATCTAGTGGGCACTAAGTCTCTTAAGCAAAGGTCAAAATTCGAATCATGACATATATGAATGGAATAAATTAGATTGAAAGAATTATCCTCGCATCTGAAATACCTTATCCGAATTAATCGATTAATAAATAAAAAATAGGTGGCTAGAAAAAAAAAAGCAAAGCACATCAGACAAAGCTAGAGAGTAATTAATTTGCTTTTAGAAAACATGTAAACAAAAGCTCCTACCGACAAAGAGACATGTGATATTCTCTAGTCTTTGTTTCATTAATGTTCCTCTCAAATATTAATCATGTTGTCTTCTGTTCCCTTTTAAGCACCTAGTTTGATCGATCAAATTATATTTAGGTTTGATTTATCTTTGATGTAATTATATTTAGGGTAAACTATGCATTTAGCACCTAAACTATCAACTTTGATACGTTTTAGTACCTAAACTTTCAATTTTTTTAAAACCATATCTAACGTTTAGTTTTTATTTCGTTTTAGTACCCCTGTTACAAACTTAAAGCGTTTAATACCTAAACTATTAGTTTTGACTCGTTTTAGTACCTAGACTTCCAATCTTTTCAAAACTTAACGTTAAATTTTTGAACTGGAATACTAAATGAAACAAAAACTAAAGTTTTTAACGGCGGAGTACTAAAATGAAATAAAAACTAAACTTTAAGTATGTTTTTGAAAAAGTTGAAAGTTTAGGTACTAAAACAGACTAAAATTGATAGTTTAGGTACTAAACACATAATTTACCTTATATTTATATATTTAAATATTTGTATCTTCGTATTAAGAATTAATTTACTATTATCTTAAAGCAATTTTTTTTAAAAAAAATTATTAATTTATGTTTATATTAATTTTTTATAGTATTATTAGATTTTACATTTAGTTAAAAATAAGGTAAAATTTATGGTGAGCTTAATTAATAATGAGCCGAGTCGAATCAAATAATAAAATTTTTAAACGAGCACAAATCAAATAAAATTTAATCGAACCTAAATTTAATTAATATGACCGAATTAAAAACCTTATAATTGACTATTCAAATAGTTTATCCTAGTTTTTTTTATCATAATTTTTAGAATAGAAAGTTAGCACAAATATGGATTTTGTGATTGTTAAGGTGAATCAGATCTAAAAATATTTTTAAGAATAAATTCATATATATTAATAATATAAAATTTTTATACGAGATAAATATAAATAATATCTCGTAATAGATACAATGTATAAAATTATATATAGAAAAATTCGTTAAATAATCTCCACAAAACAAAATCAGTTTTTTTCCAATACGGTAAAATATAATTATTTAGCCTAATAGGACATATTGTAGTTTATTTTGAGATCTACAGCTTTTGCTACAATGTAACTGAAACTCGTCACCTTGAGATGATGAATTCCGTTAGAAATAATTTTTAAATCGACGCATGAATGTTTAATTATTTTTTTGAAACTAGTCAAATCGAAATGATAAATTTCATTAAAATAATTTTTTTTTCAAAACCAGTCTAGTCTAGCCCAGGGCTGAAAATTAAAATAAAACCCAAAAAAGAAGCAGAGCAGCGGGCTTTGGCCTCATGTACTGCTTGTTCTATATATTTGGTCTAGAAAATATTTTTTTTATTTTTTTCTTTATTTTAAGAAATTAATTTTTATTTTTAATTTTTAAAAAAAATTAAAAATACTTCTAGTTAATATAAATAAAAAACTTAGTTTAGAAATAAAAATAATAAAGATATATTTGATATTTATCTTTTAAAATCGAGATAAAAATAGTTATTAAATAATTAAAATAAAATAAAATTATTAAAAAATTTTATCACATAAATTTTACATTGGAGTTATGTAAATATAAAATAATAAAACTGATAAAGAAATTTCATAATACAAAAAATATTGAATAAACTACGTGTTTCGTACTTAAACTATCAGTTTTGATTTGTTTTAGTATTTAAACTTTTAATTTTTTTTCAAAATAATACCTAACATTTACTTTTTGTTTCATTTTAGTATCTCGCCGTTAAAAAAGTTAACGCGTTTAGTACATAAACTATCAGTTTTGGTCCATTTTAGTACCTAAAATTTCAACAACAAAAAATCAAAACTTAAATATTAAGTTTTTAACGGAGTACTAAAATGAAATAAAAACAAAATGTTAGGTATGGTTTTAAAAAAATTAAAAGTTTAGATACTAAAATATACCAAACTTATTGGTTTAGGTACTAACACGTAGTTTACCCAAAATTATTTTAGTTTATAATAAGAATATAATATTAATACATATTAGACAACAATTAAATTAAAAAATACACAAAAAAATATTGATAAGAAAAACACCCAAAAGTGTCATTAAATTAAACATACGTTTAATGGTATTATGCCATCAAACTTTTGAAAAAAATAGTGTAGTCCTGAATTTCTTTTGCACTCAATGTGAGTGTGACTCGTAAATTGAGAAAAATATCAATCTAACCCTTTAACCGATGAAATCAAATATTAATTATCATGACGTTGACACGACAATTCACAAAGTTTATATGATAATGTATAATGTTGGTGTGATAGTTCATAACATTGTTATGGCAGTACACAATAAAAGATGATGTGATAAATAGGCTTAATTAATTTAGTGTTCGTTTGTTTCACGGAAAACATATTTCGACGTCACTTGTAGAGTATGATACAAATGCAATTAGGAGACATGTAGGTCACATTTTTTTTACTTTGAGTCTTAAACTTATATGATATTGTGTATGATTGAATTATGTTTTTAATATACGAATGATTTCTGAACTTGTACTTTTATTTATAAATTGTTTAACAAAAAAATTATTTTTCATGAATTTTTAACGTGTGCCGTTCTGGTGGTTCTAATGTAACATCTCAGATTAAAATGAGTCATTCGTATCTGTCCGATGATTTTACATTGTAGATTTAAACTAACATTTTTTAAGATAAGATTTTGTCTTCTCAAGTGTGCTTTCACAAATTTTAACTATCAGGTGCTTTTATGTGGATTTTATTTGTGTTTGGTATTATGCATTCGAGCATGTGAACGTGCACATGAGGATAATAAAAGAGATATAACTTTTGATATTGCTCACACTTCTGATATCTATGGCGTTCGGATCTAGGTCCTCAAGAAATAATATCAATTTCTTTATCACACCTTCGAAAGACAAGCTAGAAATGCAGTTCCAATTGGTTGGATAGTTATTCAAAGAAACATTGATTTATTGTCAAGTGTCAAACTTTAGGTATGCAAGGCTCAAAGTTTGCTAAGATAATGAAAGATAGCATTCAAAGTTTGCTATGATTCCCACAAGTACTATCCAAAGCTCAACTTAGTAGCTTTCATAGTAGAAAAAAGTAGTCATCTTTTTTTTTTTTTTGAATTTATCATCAGTATTCGATCAATTGACTGACTAATTCAGGTGAAATTTTGTAAAGTATCTTTACGAGGACAACTCTTCAAATACACTTTGCTCCATTCATAAATGTCAGAATCCAAACCCTTGATTTTATTTATAGAATCTAGTGTCTTATTCCATAACGAATAGAGTTTTCGACTTTTTTTTCCTTCTATGAACTCATCAAAATTAAATGAAAATCAGCCTTAGAGACAACTAATGAATAAATTACTCTCGTAGTCCTTCAGACTCTATTCTCAAGTCAAAAATACCCTTTTTTAATGGTTAAATAGGCTTCAACCCAAATCAAGACAAACCCAACTTAGCGCATGATTTCTTAATAGACACTTGGATTATCTAAAATCCACTCGAGTTTACCCGAAACTACTAACTTGAAAATCGGGATATTACACTTTATCACCTCAACCAACTTCCTACACATACACCCACTGAAAACGGGTTTCATAAAACAAATGGCTGAAAAGATCCCATGAGTTTTCTTCTGGCTTTTTCTTTGGTGATGAATCGTTCCATCCCTGTTGATTAGTGGTCGTACACTGCAATGAAAAACCAAATAATTGGATAATCGTAAAGAAAAGGGAGAGCAAGCATCCAACAAAAATGGCACATGCCACTTTGAGCAATAGAAGTGACATTATCACCTTGCCTTATTTTGTTCTCAAAATATCACAACCCAACAAACAAGTTCAATGCATGCTATGTTTTTCTCACTTTTATGCTTGAAACATTTTTTATTTACTTATCAAACTAATGGTTGGATGACAAAAAATGAAATTTGAAAGTTGAGTGGTAAAATCAAAAGTTTTAAAGTTAGTTGACCAAAATAGAAATATGAGGAAAGTTGTCTGACCAAAATAAAAACACAATAAAAATTAAAGGACTAAAACTAGAAAAATCTCATCGCTTTGATTCAGAAATTGATAAAATTAACAATAATCAAATATTACTAAACTTTTTATTTATCTCAAATCTTATATAAAGAATAATATACAAGAATTGTTGTTAAATAGTAGCATGAACCCAACGATCTCAGTAATTAAGTTGTTGTTCTCTCCCGAGTACTTTTGGAAAAATTGTGATAAATTTAAAACTTTGAGCCATATTTTCTAAGGGTAAAGATGGAGATTCGAATAATAAGTTTATTGATTAATATTCTACTCAATGAGACATTTACAACGGTATCTCATATGCTCATAACGGTTGAGTAATAAATGAGAAATTGATGCTCAAAGTAGGGTACATGTGAATTGTGTTGTGTAAATAAAATAAGAAAATCCATATCCCACACATTAGAGAGATAACAAACATGTGAATGGTTCATATACATCAACAAACTTACTAGGTATTGGATGATTTTGGTTGAGATTTTGTCTCGTGTGTAGGCTTAAGGGGTGCATATCCAAGCTTGTAGAACCCATTGGGTTGAGGTGTACAACATGGGCGACGTGAATTTTTGGATCAAGGGCCTATATATATCTTACCCACTATAAATTAAATATTTTCATTAATTGTGATGTATTTTTTGAATATTCTAAATTAAAAATGATATAATATGATTTGCGTTTAATTCAAATATTAATATGCTATATCTTGTAGTTCACAAATATATTCGATTTAATTCATTATTAATTGATTACTTCAGAATTTATTCGGATACTCATTAATGACCTTACTTTTTAGAATATATTATTTCAATTCTTCTTCCACATGAAACTCTATAAATACTATTTAAACCTATCAGGTTAAATACAACTCAAAACTCTTTCCTTCCTCTCTAGGTTTCGGTGATAGCCTCAGACAATATATATTTCGTGATTTCTGTAATTGTGCTATTGTACCGTGATCATCTTGTTGTTGTATCTTGGGAGACAAACGACCAAAGATCTCGAGCACCAATGAGTGACTGAAAATCTGTCCTAAAAAAGAATGTAGTATGATCTTATTTGTTGTAGATAACTTGAGATTATTGATGAAATTGGTCATTTTAAGTATACTCATTAGTCAATCACCTTGGTTTAAACAACATGATTGCCAACATATGGTCTCCCTAAAGATGATTAACTCAAGTTTTGAATATTAATTAGCAAATAAATTAGAGTTAGAATTAGGGGTTCAAGTTGTTGTGTTGTCCCCTACCTTCTCTTGATAGTGCTCTTTGTTAATGGGTGTAGCTAAAATTCAACACCCTAAAATGCTCTCTATTTGATTTCGTGTGTAGCCCACTATGACTTGTTTGTCCCCATCTTATTTGCCTTGGAATGTGCTGAAACTACTGTTAAGCACAGTGGTGTTTGGTACCACGGATAAAGAAATCCAGGATAAGAGATTCAATAGCCACTATAAATTAAACAATTGAAGAAAATAAAATTCAATTATATTTTGATGAAAACGATACATGAAATTTCTCCATTTTTAATAATAACTGGAGATGATAGATAAATTTGATTAGTAAAAATAAAAAATATTATTTAATCGCCTGAAAAAAATATGAAAATTTCAGCAACATTTCCCCTATAATTTTAGGTGGAGAAAAGAGCTGGGAAAAGTGGATTGACTTATGAATGGGTGATAGATGCATCCCCCATAGAGAAAAGGCCAATTGGCTTATATATAATGAGCCATGCAAAGGACTGTTTAGTGTTGCCCACTATCCACATTAATCAAAAGTTATGTACCATTAAATGTTTTGAGCAAATGGTATTGAATGGTCTCTTGTTCAACTAAGATCCCGGGTTTGATGCGCTAATCAAGCGATCTCGGTGGTAAAAGAATTATTATTTCTTGAAGTTCCGAGTTCGAGTACCAGGATGTCATGGGTAAAAAAGATCTTAGGTTTGATTTTTTTTAGAATATTTTATGTGATCTTTTTCGAGTCGATTATTATTTAAGTTATTATATTTATTGATATTTTCCTAAAATTATTGATACAAAACTAGTAATTTAAGATCACATACGAACCATGAAAGATTAAAAAAGCCTAACTAAAACTCGAACAAAAATAGATACAAAAAGATATGAATAACTATGAGCTCTCTACATAATATAAGAGACAATATTTAATCTTTTTTTTCTATCTTATTAAAATTATTCTTTATTGATTTTTCTATCAGATTTTGAATTTTATTTTTTATTATTTAAAATTTATTATCAATAAAAAATTAAACATTATATTTTAAAATCCTTGAATCAAATATTTTTTAACTTTATATTTTATAAAATTTAATTATTTAAAATAATCATGAATGGGAGTTAAAATAATTTTTTAAAATTTAATGTCAGGGTTTGATGGGCTAATCCAGCGATTTCCGTGGTAAATGAATTATTATTTCTTGAAGTCCGAGTTTGAGTACCAGGGATGCCATGGGTAAAAAAGATCTTAGGCTTGATTTTTTTAGAATATAAGAATATTAAATATTTGCCAAGAGAATTTTATTGTTTATGTGATCTTTTTCGAGTCGACTATTATTTAAATTATTATATTTATTGATATTTTCATAAAATTATTGATACAAAAACTAGTAATTTAAGACCACATACGGACTAGAAAATATTAAAAACCCCAACTATAGATACAAAAAGATCTAAATAACTATGAGCTCTATACATAATATGGGAAAACATTTAATCTTTTTTTCTATCTATTAAAATTATTTTTATTGCTTTTTCTATCAAATTTTGAATTTTATTTTTTATTATTTAAAATTTATTATCAATAAAAACTAAACATTATATTTTAAAATCCTTGAATCAAATATTTTTTTAACTTTATATTTTATAAAATTTAATTATTTAAAATAATCATGAATGGAGTTAAAATAATTTTTAAATGACTCAAACTAAATTTCATGGACTCGAACTACATTTAAACCTAAAATGACCGTTTGAATTGAACCTAAATCAAACATAATTTAACTCTAAAATAATTTGACTTAAAATAATCCGACTCAAACCCGATTCGAATGAGCAAATTGTGACCTCTAGATTGTGGCCACCTTCAATTAAGTATAATATAATATGAATAAATAACCTTTGTTTGCGAAATGACAAACAGAGAAGTTGACTTAAGGAATTGTGGGGGAAAAGAAGTGGTAAGGCATCTCATGATGAATGATGATGCTGTGTTGGTATTGGGTGGGGGTTGGGTGTGAGCCATGGCAACAGCTACCAAACACATAATATAGATAAATATAAGATTTTAGATTAGAGGGATGAATTTGAATTTTTAAAATTTTAAGAAAGCGAATTTAAACTTATAAAATTCTATACGAGCGAAAATAATTTATTTTAGGAGATACTATCCTCACCACCCTTGCCATCCTCCCAACAACCACTCTTATAAAGCCACACCTTCCCCTCCCCTTCTCCCTCCCTCTTCCATCACTAACTCAAGTCTTTCACTTGATCATCACCTCCTCCACCCATGTCACCTCTTCGCTTCAACGCTTTTCTTCTACTCTCTTTGCTCTTCTTCCTCCCTCTCTCTCATGGTAATCAATACTCCGCTCACTGCAAATTCATTTTTCCTCGTATTGTACGACTAATTACGAAACGTTATCGTGATTAGTTGCGGTGAATATGAACAACCACAGCATTACATTGCACGTCTTATTTCAATCTCTTTACTGAACCGCTGATCAGAGCGATTGTTGTTGTTGGCAGGCCTAGTTGAAGGGTTTCAAGGTGGAATGCAGCGTAAATATCACTCACTTCATCAACAGGTATTATTCTTTTTCTTTCTAGAGCTTTGGGATTAACATATGCATGCAAAGATGCAGACAATGTACGTGTACCTGTATAAAACTACGTCATTGAATCATGAAATTTTATTATTAGATGAAAGGTGGGAATTATGAGAGGATCCAAATGAGTTCATCATCAAGAAAGCTGCTGACGGGTGCAATGCTGGATTATGACGATACAGGCGCTAATACTAAGCACGAACCAAGGAGAAAACCTGGGAAACCCTGATATATATGTCAAGTAAATTGCCTAGTGTCTACTAACCTCTCTTTTCAGAGGTTTTGATGATATCTTAGTATTAGAAAGGCGTGATATTATGGTGTTCTTGAATGAGGTCTTATCTAGAGCAGCAATAAATAAAATAATCATAGTAATATATTTTAATTAGTACAATCAAAAACCCTACTCAGAGGGTGTATTATAACTCTGTTGTTCTTAAACTATCGTGTCGTTGCGGTGTATCCCTGGCTATTGTTGCCTTTGCCTGCCATAATTATATATTGAGATTAAATAATCAAGTGTTGCTCTACTTGTTTTTATCTTCTATTTAATAAATCTACGATGAATATAAAATAGTATCCGTTTAAATAACATATGATAATAACGTTTATATGATTACTTTTTAAGTAAGGATATAAAATATACCAAAATTTATATATAAGAAAATGGATTACAAAAATAGATATTCAAGAAAACAAATTCAGTTTAATTATTTTCCTCTCCAACACATGTAATTAATCCACGGTTGATGTTGAAATTAGACCTTGGCCAGGCCGGGATCCATAGCATTCATAGCCCATAAGCATGTTTAAGTTTAGGGAAAATATAACTTTTGTTATTAATTTTGGTATTTTAGCATCTGTTTAAAGATAAATTTTAATCGTTTGACATTGAATGCTCGTACTCTTAACATTTATGGTATCTGATTAAAATTAAACTTGACGTTTAATTTTTGTACCCCGTTAAAAATTTAACGTTAAGTTTTAAACGCTAACGTTATTGCTATCTTAAGGATAAATGAGATCAAAGATTTTATTCCCAAGATACACAAAAATCCATTCCAACTCTTCCTCCCAACTCATTGAATCTTCGAGAAGGTTGCACATTTTACTAGAGCAGCCTCCCAAATATTAACTCCTCCAGGTCGAATTGAAGACCAAATCCATTGAACATTGATACCTTGAAGATTTGGTGCCGATGAATCCAAGCTGACCCGACAGTGGTGGTCGGTTCATTACGTTGAATTATAAGTGGCCCGACGTTAGACGCTGGGTGTCCAAAGTGAACTCGAGTTTGCAGATCAAATCCATGACCTTTGGCTTCATGTCTTTGAATTTGTTTGCAGATCAAATCTCTCCATCCAGATTTGTATTTCAAATGTGTCCAATCACTGTTTGAGCATTAGTACATTATTTCAAAAAATGGATCTAAAGTCGAATCCGTGCCTGTTTACTAGTTAAAGCAAGGATTAACACCGATATAAGTGTCCAAATTATACTAAAATTCTCAAATATGTGCCTAAATTATTTTTTGACTCATCCCGGTGCATAACGTTATAAATGTTATCACTTTATGTGTCTAACGTTATAAGCATTACCAGTTTAGATGCCTCGGCTATAATGACCGTTAAAAACGACTGTTAAAAGACATGTGTCACAATATTAGAATTTTAAATTTTTTATTTTTCTTAAAAAAAAAATTATTATTAAAAAAACATTTATGTTTCTTCTTCTTCCCCGCGTCCCACCCCACCCTCTTCATGGCTTTGCCATGGCTAAATGGATAAAGGCCAAACGACCAATTAAACGGCTGATCAAATGATCAGTTTTCACAGTAGGTTAAACGATTAACTATCACGATCGATTAAATGAATTTAAGGGATTGAGTATTTAGGATTGAAATTTAGGGATTTAAAATTTTTAGGTTTTGAGATAATATTAAGAATTATAACCGGTCAGTGGGTGGTCAGAGACGTATGAGAGGGTAAAAGGGCGGCCGAAGATAACTGACGATTAGAGTAAATGGGACTAAAATAAAATATTTTAAGAGTTTGGATTTTTTTGGTATTTTAGAAAAAAATAGAGTTTTTTCAAAAATAAAATATTTTTAAGTTTATTTTTAAATTTTTTTTAATTATCATATTGTAACATACGTCACCTAACAAGCTTTTTCAACGGCCATTATAGTCGAGGCATCTAAAGTGATTACGTTTGTAACGTTAGACACCAAAAATGATAATGTTTATAACATTTAGGTACCGGGATGAGTTAAAAAATAATTTTGACACCTATTAAGAATTTTGGTATAATTTTGACACTTATTTTGGTATTAAGCCTTAAAACAAATAAGGGTATTATCTGTTTAAAGATTCTTAATCATTTAATAATTAATATTCGCACTCTTGACATATGTAGTGCTCAAAACCACGACCTTAATAGACTACAATAATATCTTAACAACTAAAGCCACTTGATTCGTGCGTTAAAATCTAAATATTAAATAAGTTATTTTGATACTAAATATATATTAATTATAGCAAACATTTACCTAATAATATAATCTAAGGTAATTATGAGATAATTATCGCTCACCTTTCATTCTTATTCCCCTCAATATTCATCCAAAAAAGTGTACAACATATCATCTTTCTTTGATTTGCGCCGGCTAAAAAAGGCTTTCAGGAGTCTTTTACTTTTGCTGGGATATTGTTCGATGTCTTTGGCGTTGTCTTTATCGGATTCCCGATGCATGACAGCCGATTTCCGAGGCTCCGATGGACACTGACATTTCAAACCAACTTAAAGTTAGAATTTGTAGCTCGTAGACATCCTTAACAGAGTATGGATCGTTTTCGGCATTAATACATTGTTAAAGATGCATGGCAATGCTTCATTGTTATACTTTATATGAATGAAGCTATTTTACACTCACCCGTTGCCTTGCACCAGCCGAATTTGGAGTACTTGACCGGCTCTTTTTGGGGGTTGTTGCCCTGCTATCAGAGCCAAAACTCAAACGTGGAAATCGACGAGGTGATCCTGTTCGCTTCTCTGATTATATGTATAAACATCAATGGGCACGGACATGCATTCATCAGTAATAACCGAAGACGGTTTCAAGGAAACAAGATGGTAAAAGAGAAAGTATAGTATTGCAAAACAAAAATAAAACAGTTCAATCAGTATTATGACCTAGTTCTTTCTTCGGCATTGTTGCCGTAAAGGAAAATGTTGCAGATCGCTGTAGAGGCCGAGGAGAAGGTGACGGAGAACGTCCTTTTCTGCAGCAAACATTATGAGAATAGTTGATATTGATGCTCTAATTATACAACTTACTCTGGTTATTAATGCAATGCATCAGAAATGTAATGGTGATCTTTACCTGATTGAAGATGCTGAGGTTTCCTTGAAAGAAGATGGTGGCGGTCGGGTTTCCCTAATTCTAGCTCGAATCGCTTTAGAGGAATCATTAAAAGGATCGAGTTACATTGGAATCTTATCCAAAATATAAGATTATTCAAAAGGAGAGATAAAACAACCACCACTCCTAAACCGATGGCAGTTCTCTTCACCGTCTAGACTGCATCCTTGATATTTAGACCTGGTTTGGTTTGCACCGTGCAAGGTCTCTCCAACTGGGATTTAATCAAAGACATTGTGAATAGCCAAATATACTTCACCGGTAATCGCTACGAAATGGGAAAAAGATGGAGAGAAAAATGAGTAGAGACGAGTAATTGCCTGGCAAGATGTACCGCTTATGGTACTTCGGTGTTATAATCATGGAGGACTGTTGGGAAATTCCCTCACGGTCAATATATTTTTGGCAATTTTGCACTCTCTGCAGTTCAATACTCTGTAAGCATATTATGTTTACAGCATCGGTATGCGAAAGGCAAGAATCATAGTTGTCTCACCAAGAAATAAGAGCAATCGAACTTTACCTCTTCGACACAAGATACCTGAAGCTCTGTTCCAGAAACCTCATCAACCTTTTCTTCCATAAAATCGTTAACCTTGTATGTCACAGAACCAAGATGGTCTATGGTGTTCACGATAGCTTTTATGGCATAATCCTTTAATGTTTCTACCACTCTGCATATACAAGATCTTTCTTCGTAACCAAAAATAGGAGAAAATGGAAGTAATTAAACTCGAACAATGCTGGAAGAAATGAGCTACGATGAATTAGTGACTCACATCTGCTTATGGTCATCATTAGTGTAGGACAGCTCGAAATACTCGGCTGCTGAGTAGAGTTGTGTTCTCAGGTTTTTCAAATCCTGAAACAAAGAAACCCTGTGATAAAGCCATCAATATGAGGTATAAATGCACCATCTAGCAGCGCAGGGTGCCAAATCTGTGCGTATCGCACTAGACTCGACCGACAAAACCACCCAAATTAGGCAGTGATGTAACTTGAATGCTGCTGCAATCAATTTGGCCATCAAAATGCTAAGCATGCAATCTAGAACTGCTAAGATTCGACCAGGATATTGAAGAAAGGAATGTAAAAAAGGATTTCAACTTCAATGAAGATCCTATTCTTGCAAGCCTGAGAACTAGACAGGCAAAATATATCAAGAACTCGAATACCTCGAGACTATCAGAGAATAATAAGCTCTGCTGCGTAGAAACCTCTTCATAATAGGATTCTTCTCGAGACATCGGCATTGCAGCAAGGAGACCAGACCGAGTAAGCCCTAACCTGTATCAATCAAAACAACCAAATTTACTTCAAGCAAGAACAACAGTTCATCTAACATCAAACAAAAGAAAATAGAAACCATTTAGTAATTTTTTAAACTGAATACCTTGGAAAGAAACCGAAAACCCCATTAAATCTTGAGCATTTTAAAATAAAAGAAGCAGAACAAGAATGATCAACAACATTAGGTTACAACTACTAAGATAGCAAATTCAATACAAAAAACAAACAATAAAAGACAGACAGCAGTTTATGCAAGTTGCTGCAGTTCTGCCACTACCCAGAAATAAAAGGGAAAAAAAACACAAAAACACACAAAATCGACAGATAATAAACTAGAATACTCTATTTTGGTACATAGGAAAAAAGCCCATTTTGTCTGAATCTTCAGCAATACTCAAGTGCATTAAACATTTAAAAAGAAAAAGGAAAGAAAGCACCAAAAGCTGGAAATTTTCCATGCCCTTTCATTATTTTCATAGACAGCCAAAGCTAACCAAAATAGAAACTGAGTTCTAGGTAAGGTTCAAAAACATTTAAACTGACCTCCTCCTAGATAAGCTCCTTCTCTTATTTCCACTTCCAGTGCAGCTGAACCTGTAAAAACCGAGACCCACTTCCAGTTTAAGCTTCAAAAACCAGCCCACGTTAAATAGAGCCTACTAGACCACTACAGGAGCTAAATGATTGACGGTGACCTATATAGTTTGATGCTCAATTGTTTTTTGTTTAAACATTAAGAAAACGACAACATCAACCGGCGCTGGGAGCTGCAGAAATGGCAAAAACTTGCAGTCGTACTGGAGAAAGAGGAAGCAACTGGCAGCAAGTTTAATACTTACAGCACGTCTTGCAGTACTTGATTTTGCCAGCTCCTTCGGATGCCAATTCCAGTGGGACCGATTTCCTTTGGAGTAAGATTATTTTGTTTTTCTTTATCTGTTCTAATGGGGTCCCATTATGAACCAGAATCACATGACCCGACAAGGTTTCATCACTTCTTTAACCGAAATCTTAATCCACTTTTGCCCAGGGGTTTAATGCTTGAACAGGCTTAACTGTTTCATTAGGGGAACTATTGTCCATTTAAATGTTTCTATCAAATCATCGGTTGTTAATTGTAAATTGATAATTAATAAAATTAACATAATTATATATTTATCTTTTAATATTTATATATTATATCAATTAAGTTGTTATTTTAATTTAATTAAGTAAATTTAATTTTTTAATTCGGTATCACGTATCATATATGATTGGAGGATTTATTTAATTAGTTTTAATTAAATAAATTTTATTAAATAAATTTTCTCACCAATCAGGTGATGATACGTGTCACTACTTGTATAAAAGAAAAATATATTAGAAAAAAGAAGTGAACTTAAAAAATTCAAACTAATTATCCTTGAGTACTTCGGTATGCCTCTGTCACCAAGCCATTTATTTAAATCATGAAAGGATATTGTATGCACTATAAATAATTATAACAGTGCCTAATATTTTATTGGACAATTTTTTTATATAATATGTTTAAGATTATTTCTCCTACACATATATATTTAGATATATATTAAATTATAATTAATGTAAGACTTAAAAATAAAAAAAATTAATATTTTTATTTAAATTATTTTTATAATTATTTTTAAATAATAATATATAAATTATATTAAAAATAAAAATATATTAAAATTATTTAGAAAATTCAAATCACAAAGTAAAAATAATTTAATTTAAAAATAAAAAATATTAAAATTATTTTTATGTCTTACATTAACTATAGTTAATATATATATATATATATATAATATAATATATTTATTAGATTTGTTTTAATAATTTAATATATATATATATATATATGTGTCAAATAATCTCAAACACAATGTATAAAAAAATTATGCGATTAAAAACCAAATAAAGGCTTGGCCTAGTGGTAAAGTTATGCCCCCAAGCTCACTTCTCTATTCTAACATGTTTTCCCTGTTCACATGTGGTGACACGTGTCACCACCTGATTGGTAGAAATTTTTATCTATTTAAAATATTAAAATTAATTAAATTAACCCTCTAATCATATAGTGCCATGTGACACCTCTAGATTGGAGGGTTAAATTTATTTAATTGAATTAAAATAGAGACTAAATTGATAAAATATGTAAATAGTAAGGACCAAATATATAATTATGTTAATTTTATTAACTGCCACGTCACTACCTATGTTAAAAATTAACGGTCAATGGCTTGATTGAAGTATTTAAATTGTTGGATGGTCTAATTGACCGAATCGAAACTTTAATGGTCAAAATAAAAAGAGCAATAGTTTAGTGGTCACTCGTGTATGTTACCCTATTTTGTATCAAATAGTATTACTAATAAAAAAATAGATTTTTGAGTCAATTAGGATATACCTGAGTTGAATAGCTCATGAACAACTTCAATTCGATTTAGTTAAAACTGAATTAATGCTTACTTTGAGTTAATTCAATTCGAATTTGATTTGATATCTCAGCGAATCAAGCCTAGTAAAGTCCAACTCACTCGATAAATTCTTGAACAACTCGTTAATTTGATTTAACGTTTTTCTAGATGATATTTACCTTATTTTCAAGATTGATTATATATGATTAAACTTTTGTTTTTCAATAATGATGGTAATATGATTAAACTTGTAGACTTTAAATATTTACCTCTAGATTAGAGGTGACATGTGGCACCTCTGCACTAAATAAAATTGTGGACGTATAATTTTTTAGCAAAAAACATCTTAGGCTAGAACAGAAATGCATGTAGGAATATTTGTAGACAAAATTGTGAAGCTGTCCGTAACTTGTATTTTATTATTGTCGTGTCTAATTTGATCTATTTTTTATATCTCTTATTTGCTATGATTTTTATTATAATTTTTTTAAAAATTTGTTTAATTATATTTTTTTTCTTTTTTAACAAATTATTTGCAAACTTTGAAAATATCTTCCATAAATGAGCTGTCGGGATTGCCGGCAAAAGAATTTGGGAGTTTGGAACATTAACCAGTGTAATGGAAATGGGTAACGTACACAGATGGTCCCTGATTATGGGATATTACTTTATTAAGTTCTCCAATTATTAAAGATTACAAAATAGTCCTATAATTATAGAGAGTTGATTTGTTGAGTCCCTTGACTATTAAAAGTTATAAAATGGTCACCCAACTATTCATCATATTCCAAACTCGTCATTTTTTATTAAAAATTTGACGACAGTTTGCGCTATACACTAACTTGATGACTAATGTATGATAAAATCTAATCTCATAATATCAAACAACTATCATATCTCAGTTAGCATGTTAATGTTCAACTCAGATAGTTGTTATTTTTTAACGGAAAAGGATGAGTTTGGAACATAATGAATAGTCGAGTGACCATTTTGTAACTTTTAATAGTCAAGGAACTCAACAAAGCAACTCCCTATAGTTGAGGGATTATTCTATAACTTTTAATAGTCAACGAATTCAATAAAGCATTATTTTTTATAAGTGGGAGACCGTAGGGATGACAATTTAACCCGAATTTGACAAATTTTGACCCGATACGACCTGATAGGTAAGATTTTTTTTAAAAAAAAATCTTGTTTGGGTCAAGTCAAATTTTTCAAGGGGTGAGTCGAATCGGGTTCGGGTGGAGGGTGGAAAAATTTCAACCCGACCCGACTCGAGGATAATAAATGTAATTTCCTTAAAATATTTATTGTTTTTAATTAAATCTTTAATTTATAACGGGCCGGGTCGAATTTATACTCTAAAGAATCGAGTCGAAATCGGATGGAGGATATATATATATATATATTACGGATTCGGTCAAATGGGATGTTGAATATAAATTTTCAGATCGAGTCAAGTTCGAATGAATGATACTTATTTTTGGATTGGGTCAGGTTGTTCAAAAACCCAACTCGTTGATATCCCTAACCACTTGTGTACTTTACCCACTAGAAATTTGATATTTCGTTTAAACCAATTAAATCAAGTGTAAACTACACATTTAATAATTAAATTATCACTTTTACTCTATTTTGATATTTAAATTTTTTTTATAATTAATTATAGTTTAAGTTTTAATTTGACACTATTAAAAAACTTTACATAATTATTTATATGATATTTTTTTTTAATTTTTTAATAATAATGTGGCATTGTGTTATAGTGACAAGTCAGCTTCACCATTTAATTTTCAACAGAAAAATGCCAAAATAAAATCTAAAGTAAACATTGGTTATAATTTTTTTTTAAATTCCTCAATCTTTCGATACTCACACCCCTAGCTTACATGGTGGTTGCTTAGTATTAAAACTCTTTATTTGATTGAATCGATATCTCGAGAACCTCAGTTGGAAAAAGGTGTTACTTTTAGGCTTCATATGTAGGGATGGCAAAAAAACCCGAATTCGACGGGGAAAATCGAAAATCGAATTAAACAGGGATGGGGAAAAACCGTTTATGTTAAATGGGGACGAGTTTGGTAATCCCCGCATGATTACCCGATTACCCGACCCGATAAATATTAAAAATAATTATATATATATAATATTAATCAATTTAATTTAAATTAAAAAATATATATAATATTTATATATTTAATTTAAATATATATACCCGGCCCGATACCCGTTTAAATAACCGTTTATGCTAAACGGGGATACCCGTTTCCCAGCGGTTTTCCCCGGTTATCCGATGGGGATCCCTGTTTAAATCTTAGTGGTTTTTTAAGCGGGGACGAGTATGGATTTTTTAAACGGGGACGGAGACGGAGGGACCAATACCCGGCCCATTGCCATTCCTATACATATGCTGCAGTAAATTGTTGTATTAACTCCTATATACAAACTGGATTATTCAAGAAACAGACCAAATTGTATAGCAGTTCTTATTTGAGCTTTTCACCTTGCTAATATCATTACAACCTTCTAAAATGTATCATTCCTTCACAAGCCAACGTCCCTTCAAGATCTCCAATGATTCTAGCTATTCGAACCTCAAGACCCCTTTGAACTTCCTGAAACAACGATTTCATATTATCGGAGAATCGCTTCATGTCGAAACTGGCCGTCTGCTCTAGCTCCACCCCTGTAAACCCTGAGCCTATTTTGGTTTGAATTTCCATCAACTTCTGACCCGTTGCAACCATGTATCTCTGCAAATGGAATGTCTCCTCTAGGAAATGCTCCAGTGTTCTGGTTTCCCCTTTGCTTTTTGCACTGCTGCAATCTCCTTGACTCGAGTCCGGATCGTTTTCGTGCTGAAAAATTGTTATTGACATAATGATAAGAAATTAACAACGGGAAAGCATTGAAATATGCATGCAAAGAAGTTGCAGATCACTGGTGAAAACCATTGATGATCATGGCTTACCATTCGCTTACAAAGATCATCGGTCTTCCCTTGAAGGGACTGGTAGCGGCTCACTTGTTTGTTAAGAAGAGATATCAACATTAGAAAGGCTTTCATCCCTTTGTCATCCCCCTCCATGCCCTCTATAGTTTCTTTCTTTCCATTTAACCTCTCAAGCATAAGAAGTTGCTGTTTCAACCTTTTGATCTTGTAAGAAACTCCAAGCGCTCGAAGATCCATTCTCCATGGGTTGTTTTTGGTTTTATCACCCTCAGAGTGTGAAACCGATACAGATTTATCTCCGGACTCGACCACCAATGAACCATTAGTTTCTTCTTGAGGTTCTCTTTCTTCTTCAAACTTCTTTTCAGGTGATTGAACGATCAATCTGATGTTTTTGGACTCGTTGCAAGATGGGATTACCTCTTCTTTATGTAGCGAAGTTCTTTTCGATTC